CCAAACCCACTTTCCACAGCCAGCTCGGCTCATAAAAGGTGCCGGTCCAACGTTCAATCCGGTGGAAAGGGTCCCTGCAGTGGGATGTTCGGCAACATTCTGCACAATATGCCGTGCCGGCAAAGCAATCGAGACATCGCCAATTTGCCTCCTTCTTGCAAGAGATACAAAACCGCTTTGACGCTTTCCTATCCAAAAATTCGTGGAGGTATAGATTCACTCAAATGTCAGACTTGACTTTGCGTCGGTCATTCCAGGTTGACTACGCGTCGCCTGCTTTCTATCTCGTAGAACGTGGCTTGTATCTGAGTAACAAATACTACATTTTGAACCGTTTTGGGCAGACAATGGGCGAGTGGCCATAGTTCCGCGTGATGTGGCTAGCAGATGTGGGCCACCCTCCTGTGTCGACTGCCGCTCATGAAGTTTCCGATCTCTTCCATCCGCATTTGCCTCCTCTTCCGACTTCGTGAACTTTCCAATCCCTTTCCATTCACATTTGCCTCCTCTTCCAACCTCTTCCCGACATGCGACCTCGCATCCCAAAAAATTTCACTCCATCCTCGAGCCCATTATCTTACACCCCGATAAGCGGCAAAGCTGTCCACTACCTCTCCAGGCCAAGTGGAATTCGTCCACTGGTCCTCCTACCAGACGAGAGAACGTTTAGCCAGCAAAGAAATCTCAAGCCATTGCCAGGACAGGTTGGCTTCGCAGGTGATCGACCCCTCAATAGCTGCTCATCACTCTCCGCGGACGGCTCGCAAACCGCTGATGTCACTGGCGATCTCGATGATCCAAGTGGCATCATGTTCTTTTCGTCTCCTTCCGCCAACATTGCTGCTTCTCCTGTCTCTAATCACCGACGAAAACGTGAAAATCAAACCATTCGTTGGAAATCTGAAGTGATCCCTCGCCTCATTATGCCGTACATGCGGCTCGTTTCTCAGACAGAATCATTTCGCCTGCCGATCCCCGAGGATGCTTTCGCCACCACCCTCACCTGTCAATGTATCACAAGAGCATTAGAGGTTATCGTAGTTCGTTTCTGCGGTATGTGTCTTTCCTGTTAGGCGTTGAGATACTAACAAGTGCGTTCCAGTTCTTGAAAGGTTGAAACTTCAATTTTGCAAATGTCGACCGGCTGCGGTCCAGCTGCTCCAACGCGGATTATTTCCCTCGGCACCATTTGCCCCTTCCCTGGCTGTTGATATTCGAGTTTTAGAATTCGTGTCGCGACTTTTTCTTCATATTTCCCCCAATGCCACTGCATGGTGCAACACGGTTGAAGAATTTCTTCAAAGCCAAGGTTATAAACTTACTACAAAGGTATTTTATTACTTAGATGGCGGGTGAATTTTGGTCTGACTTCAAGTTCAGGACTCCCTTCGACGCCGATTTAGTGAAGCCTTGAGATGGTACAACGGACTTCAAGACGCTACTAACAAACACGTCGACAATGTTCTTTATCATGTCCGGACCATCATTGCCGGTTATAATGATGGGGTTTGCACAAAAACCATTGATTCTCCCGATGACGAATCGACTTCTCGCGCCACACAATCAACTGCTCCTGATAACGAGTCGACTCCTCGGACCACACATTTGCCTGATGCCGATACCGTTGATGACGATCCAGTACCAGAGCCCCTTCTGCCTAGTACCCGACCACCCCCAGTCAGTATGGTTGAAATTGAGGATGAAGATGCATTTACGAATGCTGGACTTTCTCGGCCCTCAACGCCTCTTAACAGCTCAACAGCTCCTCCTTTCACCCCCATTTCCCGGAAGCGACGTCATTCAGAAAACGCTGACGACTTGAAAGCTCCGTTTCCAATGCCAATCCCACGCGACCGCCCCAGTGATTATCTTCGTTCACGGTGCCCTCTATGCTTTGGGGGAGACCCAAATCAGAGGTTTGGAGGTGATGTGTAGGTCGCGTTGGTTCGTATATTTGTCACTTTTTTGACTGATTCAATTACCAGCCCCGATATTGTTGTGTGTCTTGATGCATGCTTCAAGCAAAAAGAAAATGAAGGGCAGTCTGACCCACCTCGTCAGCACCCTCGAAGTGTCTTCTTATCCGACGCCACTGCATCAAAGATGGAAGGATATGTTGAGGGCATTCGTCCGAACAAGGCTAAGAAGGGTGCGAAGCGCCAAAAGCCTGTTGATACTAGTAGGAACCACCCTGATTCGGACGAAGAAGATGGCTATGATGGTGCACTGAAGGTTCCACGATCCGTCTTAGCCGGCTGCGAGAAGAGCTTCACAGCTGCAAATGAAACGCGTGAAAAGGCTAGCACACAGTTTTTTGCCGTCACCGCACTGATGGCTCTTCTCTGCCGCCATGACCGTGTGATATGGGTCGTCAATATGCGATCTGCAGGCGAGAAGCAGCATTATGCTCTGGCGCTCGTTGAGACGCTGTTTCAACACCTGCCCCTCCATTATACAGTCGGGTTACTTTACGATGTTGGCTGTCAGCTACATAAAAGCTGTGTCAACTGGGGTTTTCTTAGTGCATACCTCCACCGCTTGATCTTTGCTATTTCCGTGTTTCATGCGTTCGGACATCAGTGGCCTTGTCAGATCATATACCATCCTCGAAAGTGCAACGGATTTGGACTCTCCGACGGCGAAGGCTGCGAGCGGTTTTGGAATTCTATCAAGAAATTAATTGCTTATCTACGCATGTGTGGGGTAAGTCTTTATTAATCTGGGAAAATATATCATCTCATTAGTATCTTGTATAGTCACATCAACGCGTTTACACTCTCGATCGACAGGTTCAACAAGCAGATAAGGAAACCCTTGGTCGCCTGGCTTTCTGGTTGCTTCGCCGATCTCGTCATTGTCAAGAAAAGCGACACCTTGCTGAAGTGGTGCTCGCAGAATGTGGCGTTCCTGACAGTGTCCTCCGGGATGAATGGTCTGCGCAGGTACAGGCTCAGACCAAACCTCTTCCACGTACGTTCAATGTTAACATGCAACTTCGAGCGTTAATAGTTTTTCCAGGACAGACAAGAAACCAGGGGAAAGATGCAGTCTCTGAAGCCATCCGACTTCGAAAAGCACGTGATATCCTGAGGAAGCGCGTCCAAGACCAAGAAAACATCATATTGGATCCTTTAGCTTCAGACTATCATCTTTGTGATGCAGAATTGCGCCTAGCTGAAGCTAAGAAGGCTTTGAGTTCTGCGGAGTCTCGGGTACACGCTTCCGAGTCGGCGCTTGGTGTTCACGAAAGAACCAAGCTTGGGAAGCTGCTCGGAAGCCCTTTTATTGCAGCGAGGATGAACGCCCGAGCCCTCAAGCTACGCTTGCGTGAAAGGCTGCGCTCCCGGAAGTTTGAACTTGACCGTATCGAACGATCATATCGCAACCATGTCAACGGTATGTCTTTTCAACATTCTGCACCCCGCGTTTACTTAGTACCACAAAACAGAGCGCAAAGTTCACCATCATCTCGAAGATTCCGTGAAGCGTCGTGACCCTAGCATCCAAAAACTCGCTCGTGACTACAACAACTTATGCGATGTAATGCTACGGTTAAAAGCTCAGCGCAAGGCGCCTCCGGGCTCAGTCTGCCCGTCGAAGATTGTCATGAAGGGTCTGTTTGCTCTGGACGTTGACGACGAAATCTGGCAGGATGCCGGATTGGAAGATTCACTTGATGGCGCCACGACCGACCCACCACTGTGGCTTTGCGACGATCTTGTAAGGTCGGGAATTCGTGCGCGATTAGAGCTTGATAGATGCATTGAAGAGGAAGAGTGCATTAAACATGAACGTAAGGTACTACAAATCTGGTATTCAGAGGAGTGGAATGTCACCTGTTCCGCATATGATAACACTGGTACGTTTTGCTATTTGACCCCTTTGTGTAGCTTCTCATCATGTTTTAGATTCACTGGAGTTACGCTATCAACTCCAATTACGAAGGATCCACTTCTCCATGTCCTGTCGATATGGAAGAAGTCCTTACAATCCTTACCTGCTGACACTGTTATTCCAGCCTGGGGCCCAACAGATGACGAGATCACAGCTGCTCGAATCGCCCAAGTCACCTCACGTTTGTATGATGACTACGATGATATGGAGGAGTTCAGACCATCCATCGGGGTCGACGAACTGAATTCGTCAGATGTAGAA